CTTGAGCCCAGGAGTTGGAGGTTGCTGTGAGCTGTAATGCCATGGCACTCTACCCAGGGGGACAGCTTGAGGCTCTGTCTCAAAAAAAAAAAAAAAGAATGTACAGCTTTCTTTCTCAGGTTCCTGAATGCATTTTTTCCATAGGATTGCTGGCCTTGGGGGCTAGTGAGTCGGCCCTGGTTACCAAAGTGTTCACAGGGGTGAACCTTTTAGTTCTTGGTTTTATCATCATCGCTGGCTTCATTAAGGGAGACCTGCACAACTGGAAGCTCACAGAAGAAGACTACAAATTGGCCATGGCTGGACTCAATGACACTTCTAGGTTAGAAAGCCAATCTTAGGAACTGTAGAGCTGGGAACACCATGGGGAAGAGGGGGATCTGTGGTGAAGGATTCTAGATGGGGGTGTGGAATAATGGAAGGCTGGGCCTTGAAGATAGTAGCTAAGTATTATGGCATTAGAGAAAATGTACAGAGTTTGCTAAACACACCCTTACCTTCTCTGTCCCTTCTTTCACTCTAGCTTTGGACTTCTAGGGTCTGGAGGATTTATGCCTTTTGGCTTCCAGGGGATTCTCCGTGGAGCAGCTACTTGCTTCTATGCATTTGTTGGTTTCGATTGTATTGCTACCACTGGTAACAGTCATTTCATAAAGTTGGGCTTGGGCACATGTGCTCACGCTGCATGCAGATTGGGGGTGGTAGAGTGGGCCTGCCTTCCTGATGCAGAATTTTGTGCCCCTTTCTTGCAGGGGAAGAGGCTAAGAATCCCCAGCGTGCCATCCCTCTGGGTATTGTGATCTCACTCTTCGTCTGCTTTTTGGCGTATTTTGGTGTCTCTTCAGCACTCACCCTCATGATGCCTTACTACCAGCTTCATCCTGAGAGCCCTTTGCCTGAGGCATTTCTCTATAGTGGATGGTCCCCTGCCCGATATGTTGTGGCTGCTGGCTCCCTCTGTGCTCTTTCTACCAGGTCAGTCTTAAATTTTGTTTTCCTCTGCTGCCAGAGTCTCCTTAAAGTATTCGGTAATAGAATATCCCTTAAAAGGGCTGTAAGGGTGGGGCGGCGCCTGTGGCTGAAAGGAGTAGGGCGCCAGCCCCCATATACCGGAGGTGGGGAGTTCAAACCTGGCCCCAGCCAAAAACTGCAAAAAAAAAGGGGGGGGGGAGGAGCTGTGAGGGAAAGGAAGACTAGACTCCTTAAACATAGGCTTGGGAAAAGAGATCCCAGCCACTCTGAGCATTTTCCTTTCCAGCCTCTTGGGCTCTATGTTCCCCATGCCCCGGGTGATCTATGCGATGGCAGAGGATGGTCTCCTGTTCCGTGTTCTTGCCCGAGTCCACAGTGGCACACACACACCCATCATTGCCACTGTAGTCTCTGGCATTACTGCAGGTAAAAGATCTTCTTTCTCCAACCCCTAGTTGTTTCACTAGCTCCTTTAACTTTGCTATTCCCTTCTCTTATTTCTGTTTTTCTCCTTCTCAATTAGCATTCATGGCATTCCTCTTTGAACTCACTGATCTTGTGGACCTTATGTCAATTGGGACCCTGCTTGCTTACTCCCTGGTATCTATTTGTGTTCTAATCCTCAGGTGAGACTCCCTCCCTCTGCATACTGTGATTTGGGTTTTTAGGTTTGGATGAGGAATGATGGGGATCTGCTCCTCTTTCCTCCTCTGCCTTCATCATCCTGACTTTCCTTGAGGAATTTGGGTATCCCTTCCTGCCAAAAAGAGTTTCTACCTTTAATGGTGATGAGGAAGGTTAGGCTGCTTGGGAGAAGATGGCAAAGTGGTTAACCGTTCTTAACACTAGGCCTGCTTACTCTTGCCTCAGGTATCAGCCTCAGAAGGACATGAAGATTGAGGAAGAGGAAGTGGAGTTGCAGGAGAAGACACCTGAAGCAGGGAAGCTGACCCTACAGGGACTATTTAGCCCGCTCAACTCCATTCCCACTCCACTTTCTGGCCAAGTTGTCTATGTTTGTGCCTCACTGCTTGGTGAGCAGTGGAATTTTTATCTGGGGTAGTTTTGAGGTCAGTGTGATGGGGTAGAAGAAGCATGTGGTATTTGGTGGCTGAGGAAGAACTAGAGAGCGGGTGACCCTCCTTGGGATGGGGTACTTAACATGTTGGCTTCAAGAATTAGTTTTGATATCTCTCAACTTGACCTTTGAAGCTCTACTATTGACTGTTCTTTGCCTGGTGCTGACCGAGTTGCCAGTTCCACTGGTTTCTGAAGGCCCAGTGTGGATTGCAGTGGTTGCGCTGCTCCTGATGCTCATTACTGGAATCACTTGGGTTATATGGAGACAGCCACAGAGCTCCACTCCCCTTCACTTTAAGGTAAATGACCTCTCTTTTTTCCTATCAACCTATCTTGGAAGAATAGGCTCCAGATACCTTGAGGTTTAATAAAGCTTATAAATATTCTTTTAATCAGACATGAAAGGGAAGGGAAAAACATAGGAGGTGTCAAGGCCAAAGACTTCTTTTCTGATCCTCTTTAGTTCCTTTCTGGTTTCATTTCCCGGACCTCTGTGTATTCTTTAGCCCCATATGAGGTGTGCTAAATGAGTGGCTACTGAAATGCAGTGCATGAGTTAGAGGTTGGACTCCCTTTTCTGGCCCATGCAGGATACTGGCTCCTTTCTAGGTCACCCTTGTGGTATGTACAAAGAAGACTTTACTTTGTTTTCAGGTGCCTGCTGTGCCTTTCCTCCCATTAATGAGCATCTTTGTGAATATTTACCTTATGATGCAGATGACAGCTGGTACCTGGGCTCGATTTGGGGTCTGGATGCTGATTGGTAGGTATCCACTTGGGAAGAGTGGGCCTCTTGATTGTCCTAAGCCAATTCCTTTCCTTCTTGATCTCAAGTAGGAGATCTATTAAGCCTTTGCAAATCACTACTTCCTCACTTCACAGCTACCTTTCTCCACTAGGGTTTGTCATCTACTTTGGCTATGGAATCCAGCACAGCCAGGAAGAGGTTAAGAGTGGCCGACTCTCCTCCAAGTCTAGGGCCAAAACTATAGACCTTGATCTTAGCAATCTCTGAGCCCAATCAATTTGATGACATCACACCTGAATCCTGTATGGTCCCCCCACAAAATAATGGAGAGTACTTTTTTTTGATCCCAGGGAAAGCTAGTCCTCCCATGTGATACTGATAGGGGATACTAATAGAGCTCTCAATTTATTGTGGAGTGAAGGACATGTCTTTGCTGTTTCACGCCTACTTTATTTTTTACTTATCTACTCTTAAAGGCCCTCTGTAGCTGCTAACTGGCTTTTAAAAATTATGATTAAAAGAAAGTTTTAAAAACAGAACTGTGTCCTGTTTCTTTGCTTGCTAGAGATAATGTAGAGCCTCAGAGAAGTATCTTGTTTTTTCTCCTGTTACCACGCAAGTATCTTTTGTGCCTGTGTGTGCTTCTTGATAAATCAGGGTTTGAGGAGGGTGGTGGAAGTAGCCATCAAGTCCAGTTACACTTAAAGTAATGATCGTGAGATAGGTTTTCCCCTCACTACACTAAAAGTTAGTTTCTTTCTCTTTTTTTTTTTTTTTGAGACCTTGAGTCTCACTTCTTCACCCTGGGTAGAGTGCTATGGTGTCATAGCTCACAGCAACTTCAAACGCTTGGGTTCAAGCAATTCTCTTGCCTGAGCCTCCCAAGTAGTTGGCAGTACAGGTGCCAGCCACAACACTCAGCTATTTTTTTTTTTTTTAGAGATGGCATCTCCCGCTTCAAGCTGGTCTTAAGAACTTGTGATATCAAGGGGAGAGCCACCCCTCTTGGCCTCTCAGAGTGTTGAAATTACAGGTGTCAGCCACTGCACCTGGCCCTTAAGAGTTTCTTGATAAGTAGATACCAGTACTTGTCTCTGGGAATTAGGGGGTGGACTCTGATCTCAACACTGACATTGGTTTGGGCCTACACTGAGACCACTGTTTTCTATTTCACCCCTGATAGTTGGATTAGTCCCAGACTCCCACAATGCCTGGGCAACAAATTTTGGCTGGCATATTTGGTACTGCTAGAAGGAGGGGTAGGCATTTGATGGTGAGGGTTAGTAAAGGATTGTTTATATGTATGACTATTAATTGCTATGGAAATAGTAGAGGAACAGAGGTCAGAGCTCTGCCCAGACCAAGAACCATTTATTCATTTATTCAACAAATAAATATGTGTGAAGGTCCTATAAAATGCAAACTCCTGTGATGGGTGCTGGGGATACCAACATAAGTAAAACAATTCTTGCCCTCACGGAAGTCACTCAAGTGGGGGAGACAGGCACATAAACATGTCTAGAGACAGACAAGTAAACATAACTACAAAACAATGATTTTTATCAGGGCAGTGCTGTGGAAACACAAGGACACAGCTGACCTGAGTCTCCAGTACATATTTATGAAGTGGACTGGGGGGAGGGTTTGACTACCAGTGAACAGTGCAGGAAACCATGGAAGGATGAAAAGTTGGATTGTATTTGGGGCATGGCATATAGGTTAACGTGGCTTGAGGGTAGCCACATTATGGGGTTGTGAAAGAAGACACCATATGCATGGCCTTGTATACCCAACTAAGGAATTCAGATATTATCTTATAAATTGTATTTGTGTGGAGGGAAGGAGTGGGGAGTCACTGAAGGATTCCAAGCAGGGGAATGGTTGGATTTGTTAGGCAGCAGCAAGGACGATGGCTTGGAAGAGGGTGGGGAAAGCTAGACTAGGGAGATAATAGCAACCATTTTTTATCTGAGATAGTCTCTGATTCCCAAGCTAGAGTGCTGTGGTGTCAACATAGCTCACAGTAACCTCTAACTTGGGCTCAAGTGATCCTATTGCCTCAGCCTACCAAGTAGCTGGGACCACAGGCCTGTGCTATCATGCCAGGATAGTTTTTCTTTTTTCTTTCTTTCTTTTTTTTTTTTTTTGTAGAGATGGGGTTTTGCTCTTGCTCAGGCTGGTCTCCAACTTTTTCTTCTTTTTCTTTTTGACAAAGAGTTTCACTTTGTTGCCCTGGGTAGATGCTGTGGCGTCATACCTCACAGCAACCTCATACTCTTGGGCTCAATCAATTATCTTGCTGCAGCCTCCCGAGTAGCTGGGACTACGGTGCCCACCACAATGCCTGGCTATTTTTTGTTGTCTTTGTTGTTTTAGCAGGCCTTGGCCAGGTTTGAACCTGTCAGCCCTGATGTATGTGGCTGGCACCCTAATCACTGTCTAGGGGCGTTGAGCCTAAAACCTGGCCCGGGCCAGCTAAAACAACAATGACAACTGCAACAAGAACAACAAAAAATATCTGGGTGTTGTGGTGGGCACCTGTAGTCCCAGATACTCAGGAGGCTGAGGCAGGAGGATTGCTTGAACCCAGAAGTTTAAGGTTGCTGTGAGCTAAGCTAACACCGCACAGCACTCTAGCCCACGCAGGTGAGACTATGTCTCAAAAAAAAAAAAAAGTGCAAACTAGGAAATAGTAGGTGTCGTAAGAGAGGTATGTATGAAGTGTCATGAGAATTCACATGACGGAGTTCTGGGAAGACTTCATAGAAGTCAAAGCTTTTAAGCCGAGGCTTAAAGAGTAGGCAATTTCACAAATTAAGGTGAGAGCATCCCAGGAGGAAGGAACCTGTGCACAAAGGCAAGAGATGGGGAAGCTTATAATTCAACTTGCTCAAAGCTTAGGATTTTGAAGGAGTGAAGTAGAAAAATAAGGCAGGAGGTTGGGGGAGGTGGCTCATGCCTGTAATCCTAGCACTGTAGGAGGCCAAGGAGGGTAGATTGCCTGAGCTTGGGAGTTTGAGACCAGCCTAAGCAAAGGTGAGGCCCTGTCTCTAAAAAATATCTTTCAAAAAATATCTGGATGTTGTGGGACAGCACCTGTGGCTCAAAGGAGTAGGGCACTGGCCCCATATGTCAGAGGTGGCGGGTTCAAACCCAGCCCCGGCCAAAAAAAAAAAAAAAAAAGAAATCTGGATGTTGTGGCAGGCACCTGTAGTCCCAGCTACCCAGGGAGGCTAAGATAGTATCATTTGAGCCCAAGAGTTTGAGGCTGCTGTGAGATGTGAGGCTTTATCAAAAGTAGTAGTACTGGGCCGGGTGTGGTGGCTAACACCTGTAATCCCAGCACTTGGCAGGCTGAGGTGAATGGATCGTCTTACCTCACAGGTTTGAGACCAGCTTGAGCCACAGTGATATCTTGTCTTTTAAAAAATAGCTGGACATTGTGATGGGGGTCCCAGACACTCAGGAGGGTGAGGCAAGAGAATTGCGTAAACCCAGGAATTTGAGGTTTTTGTGAGCTATGATGGCAGAGCCCTCTACCAAGGGTGACAAAGTGAGACTCTCAAAACAAAACAAAACAACCCCCCCCCCCAGAAGTAGTACTGGTATGTGGATGGGTTTTAAAATACGTGAGTGGCTTTGTGATTTGGTTCAAAGAATTCCACTTCAGCTACCTATTTACATACTCATACCCTAGATCTTGTTAGAATGTAAGCCTTTGAAATTACTAATTCAAACATCAAGTTCTCCATAAAAAATTCCAAATAGCCGGCTCGGCACCTGTGGCTCAAGTGGCTAAGGCGTCAGCCACATATACCTAAGGTGGCGGGTTCGAATCCAGCCCGGGCCCGCCAAACAACAATGATGGCTGCAACTGAAAAAAAA